AGCTCCATTCTCTAACCTTCAGACAGGCTTTATTTGTACAAGCAAGATATCACCACCTATCCCCCTTTTTGATCTAAAATTAAAAAGGTTGTAACTAATATAATAAAAACTATATACAATAAATATAATAACTATATACAATATATACAGGCAATAAGTACATTGACAATATCTAGGCCATTAGAATTTGACAAGTTCAGAGAAAACACTCCATTATCTATTCTTTCTTGGTGAGTTCAAAGTCTTATCCCTAATTTACTTTCTATTCTAATTTGCATTATCAAATTATCTTTTAATGTCTTTCAAATGTATTACACTTAACACATCTTTAATGAGTTCCTTTACTGAATCTGATAAACTATACTATCTAGTCTACAAGTCCCTCAGAGACCTAAGAAGGAAATAATATTAACTGAGTAAACAGGAAGTGCAAGCAAGCAACGTTAAAGAAAAAGATGTGAGAAATGACAGAAACAGTCATTGGCAACCTAGACAGTCACCCAAGATTGCTCTGCCACATTGGGGCATCCATCTTTGGCCTATAGACCTAGCATGTCTGACAGACTTTTCAGGGAACCAGGATAATCTGAAGGACTGGACCACCTTGTCTTGGCAAGGATTGCAGTCCCTCTTCTTCATGTCCTATTTGTCCAATTTGGACAGCAAACTATCAGCAGTTGAGGCAAGAGCACTTTCTTGCCCAGTGGCTTACCTTTGCCACTTAAACTCCATCATCTTCTCTGTTACTAAAACATGTTAAATGCCATATTCTATAGATCTCTGAAGTGTTTGAAGATGACCTGTCTTTCTAAAATACCTATTTGACTTTGTAAACATACATAATGTGACTATAAGCTCAATTGTAATAGTTGAATAATTACTAAACTACATTTTCTTATTAGCCTATATAGATGATAATAATAATTTTCAAGGACTAGAAACATTATGTTTTAGCAAAATTAATCTCAAATTTGTATCAATATATAACATTTGTATACAATATACAGAAGTCCAACCCAATGTAAAATATTTAAAACTAGTAGTTGCTTTTTAAAAGTAGATTCAATAATCTACCTTTTTATCTTACCATATCTGAATTCCTCTTTTTTGTTTGTTTCAAAACAAAAACCCTGAATATAATCCCCTTTGTTCAACTTTCTCCCTGATCCTAAGCAACAACACTTTGTAGCCAATCCCCCTAAACAATAACAAATATCCATAACCTAATGAGTGACCAAAAACCAACCACCCCACATCTTGGGAATATGGGCATCATGTTTTTAATGTTACTTCCGGCTGTCTAAGGGCAATCATTGAGGACTCCTGGCTTCTAGAACTGTCAGAAAATCATTTCTATTATGTGCAGCTACTCTATAGTACTTTAGCTACAGCATCTCCAACCAACTAGGACACAGACTAAGCCAAAGACCTAATCATGCACATCTCAACTACAACACTCAATCAGCTAGATAGGCAAAGGATAAAGTACAGGAAAAAAATTATGGAGATGACAGAGTGTACTATGCTCATTTAAGTAATGCAGTATTGCCTTATAAGTAGAGTCAATGTACTTTAGGCTTAGATAATTCTGTGTGCCAGAGACCTTTCTTAGTGCTTGTCTTTTTCTTAAATGATCCTTGAAATGACATTATAAAGTGCTCTATTGTTAGTGTTTTATAAATTAGATTATTGACATTTAGAGAAGTTAGTCACAGACCCAAGACCACATAGCCAAGTATTGCAGGGCAGGGATTTAAATAGAAAAGGCAGAAATGGGCAACGGAATAGGATGTGAGAGTCAACAAATTACCCTGGAGTTCTCATCTATCATTGCTCTCCCAGCTTAGTTTTATTTGTTTGTTTTTCTTCTCTTGACCATACAAGCTTGAGTCCTCGGAGATCCTTATCAACAGAGAGATTCTCAGGTCCTGTAGAAAGTGTTGTGTGGGTTTACTCTTCTGACCGTGTGATAAAACACTGAACAAAAGCGACTTCAAAGGTGAAAGGTTTTAAATGTTTTCACTTCCAGGTCATACGTCATCACAGAGAAGTCGAGGTAGGAATCCAGTGAGAGTCTGAAGGTGGGCCTGCTTGTTCTGTACAGCCAGAGTAGAGCAAGAGCCATAGCAGGGTCTCTGGCTCATACCCAGCTGGCCACCTTCAGTGGTACCATGTCAGACATCAACCAAGACAATCTCAGCACAATCTGAAACGGAAAATTCTTGAGGTGAGGTTCTCTCTTCCCAGAAGACCCTGGGTTATGTCAAGTGGACAATAGGAACTAACCAGGCCATAGGCGCCCCTTTGGACAGTGCAGTGTCTTCCCATCTGACCTGAGCAGATAGGAGGACCTATGTCAAGGCTGTGAGACGTGCAGCCCAGGCAGAAGTTCCTTAACCCTTCCTGGGCCCAGGGGTTTGCTCCAGAGACTGGACTGAAATGAACTCTCTCTCTCTCTCTCTCTCTCTCTGTGTGTGTGTGTGTGTGTGTGTGTGTGTGTGTGTGTGTGTGTGTGTGTCTGTCTGTCTCTGTCTCTCTCTATTTTGGTGTAGGGACTGTTGGGGATTCTGACTCAGGGATTTTGCATCTGTTGTTGTGCCTTGGACAAGGTACTTTTGTTTCTGGAATTCTGATTCTCTGTGTAAAAGTGAGAAAATGGGGGACTAGATAGAGTTGTGTTGAGCAAATGAGGACACGAGGGAAGTATCTTTGTGTGACGCAAGTACTCAATAAACGCCAGTGTTGCCATTTCAAATAGAAATCTCACAAAAAGAGAGGCACTGCTTTATCCCTGGATTTATTTCTCCTGACAGTGTTTGGCATAGAGCAGGCATTCAACATTTCGAATGAATTAATGAGTGAATGGATGAGACAAATCACTTAGCTACTAGCTTTTACCTGTTCATTGAAATTCAGGGAACCTAGACCTGAACAGACATTTCTCAAAAGAAGGCACGCACATAGCCAGGTATATGGAAAAATGATGAACATTGCTAATCACCAGGGAAACACAAATTAAAATGACAATGAGCCATCACTTCATAACTATTAGGATAACTACTATCAAAAACGGCAATTAAGAGATATAAAGGTGAGGATCTCGGGATTTCACCGTGAGGTAGAGCATGTGCCGAACCTGTGTGAGAGCCTGGGTTCATTCTCCACTGCAAAACAAATAAATGAAATTGTCAGTGAGGGTGGGGGAAAGGATAGCCATTATGCAAAGCATAGAACATTTCTCTAAAAATGAAAATATACAGTTCCCCCATGATCATATATCTGAAACTCCCAAATGACTCAGCAGTCCTGCCCTGGGGTATGGTGAGGCATCTGACTCCCGTGATTACTCACAATCACCAAGACATAGAACCAAATCAGGTTTCCATTGGCTGCCGGGGAGATACAGGCAGTGTGGTCTACTCTACAATGGAATAGCATTCATCCCTTCAGATAGGAAATCATCAGTTTTGACAACATAGATAGAGAAGCCCCCAAACAAAGGGGTCCAGGCACTGGTATAGGAGGTCTTATCTATATCCACAGTGCTTAAAAAAAATAACTGGGCTCATAGGAACAGAATGACATGGAGAGTAGGAAGACTGGAGAGATGTCAGCCGAAAGACACAAAAGTTCCATCAGGTGCCAGAAATAAATGTATAATGCTTTGTACCGCATGGGAACTACAGTTACATCATGGTCTTACACACTGTTTATGGAGCGATTTGAAATGGTCTCAACAACAAAACCATATGTGAGGTAACAGATATACTGAAAAGCTCAGTTTAATCATTCCAGGGTACATACATGAAAACAGGATGCCACATGTAGTGATTATATATATATATATATATATATATATATATATACACACACACACACACACACACACACACACACACACACACACACACTACACGCTATCATGCTATTCATACAATTATACAATTTTGCTTGTCAGTGACAAGATCAAAATTAAATAAAATAAAAGTTAAAGTCATTAAAGTAGGTACTAAACAAATTAAATAGATAGGAAAAGCCCTTCAGGGCTTCTGAAAGGGGCTTTTTGGAAGCTTATCGTGGATGTCACTGGCATCCTGTGCAAGGGTAAGGGTTTTAGCTTCAGCACACCCTCTGGTTTGTATTGCATCCTGAAGATACCTCCTCTTTACTATGAGTGTCTTTCTCTTGGCCCTTCCCATTGCATTGTTCAATGCTGGCCATGGCCTTAGCTCCTGCCAGGTCTCAGTTTTCTAATGAAACCCTGTACTTGGGAAAGCCCCTCTTCACCGCGCTGGAACCAAGATACCTATCTTTGAGCTAAGAAGGTGTAGCATGTGGGTACCGCAGGCTGTAATCCAGAACACCTCCAAGGGTCACCCCTCCAAAACTGTTATCCGCCACCAGCAAGCTCTGCCTCCCCTCACTGGCTCTCTTTGGTTATGACTAGAAGGGTGAAAGGATACATGAGAGAAAATGGCATATTTATGAAAATGCAAATAATGCTTTTTGCATAAATCATAGCAGGAAATTATTTTTGTCCCTTCAATTTCTCATTTCCTAAGTCGGCTCGCTTAAACAGAAGACAATGGGACAAGAACCTTATAAGGAGGCAAGTGGCAGCCAGCTCCTGGGAAACTGTGTCCTGATGCTCACAGATGATAAGGACGCGTTGACACCGCAAAGACACTCAAGCATCACCTGCCCGCTGACACGTTCCTTTCCTGCGCAGTGTCCCTCCCAACTATCATCAGGCACTACCGCCATCTAGAAACAGCCCTTGAGGGGCAAATATTGAGGTTCCCCGGAAAAGCCCAGGTTAACCCTGGAGGCGCAGGAGGAAAAGCACACTCGTGGGACACGACAGGTGTCCCTGCCTCTGGAACCCTGGATTCAGCTCCGCGGGAAGCAGCTCTCATTCATCGCGCCCACTTTGAAAGGAAATTTCCACTGCCTCACCTGTGGCACCTGTAGATTTCAATTTTCATTCATTTACTTGTTTTTAAAATATGGGATGCTTCGCGGCTTTCCCATCACCCTTGTGCAGGGGCCATGGTGATCTCTCCTGTGTTTTTTCTATTTTAATATGTGCACTGCTGAAGAGTTTTTTGTTTTGTTTTTTTTTGTTTGTTTGTTTGTTTTTTTAAGTCGGCATGAAGGAGACCCTGAGCTTATTTTTCACTACTTGTGTTACTGACCCAAAGTGTCAAGAGGTTCAAAGTCAGCTGTGTGCAAAATTGAAACATGGTTGTGTGAGAAATACCTTCTAGCTTTAGTGGCAAGTTTCAAGTTGGGACACTGTTTTTTCATACTCTTTTGGTAAAAGACAAAGCCTCACTAAGTTGTTCAAGCTGGTCTCAACCCCTGGAATCAAACAATCACACCGCTTCACCCTCTCCAGTAGCACAGGTATGCGTCACGGAACCTGATGGGTGGTTTTAATTTTTTCCTAATCATATGTCTTATTTTAAAACTAAGAATGTATTTGCTGTCCAGAAGTACATTTTCTAATAATACCTTTGCACAATAAATCGAGGGCAGATTTTCTTTTTTGCAAGTAACTTACTATTCACTAATTGATTCCTCTATCTTGAAAAGACTTGGTGAGGTTTTAAAAAGTAATTACATGGATATGACCAAGGTCTGGTTTTTCATTTCTGATGCATATTAATGTTACCCGGATGAACATCTCTGCTGCAGCTGAATGCTCAGAAGCCGAAATGAAGCTAGTGATTGTTTATATTCACCACGGTTGAAGCTAGTGGCTATCACCCTTGTATCTCTAACTGAAACTCAGACAGGGGTTTTTATTTTCTTCTTGAAAGCCTACATGAAATGCCTTCAAAAGTAGGCTAAGAAAGAATTTATGGGGATAATATAGGACTTGATGGTTCCACTTACCTCCTTGGCAGAACTGTAAAAGGCTAAAGATATCTATAATCTGAAGAGAAACCAACGTATCAGACCCACAGCATAATTAGAAGTAGTGGACATTGCTTTTTCCACATGCAACATTGAGCGATTTCTACTCAGGAGGACACTCTGTCACAGAAGCAAATGGAAACTGGGAATTCAACAGCAGCGTGTGAGGTGCCTGTAGGCTCCGTGGAAGCCCCGGCTCCCTTAAAGTCTAACTAATCATTTTGTCCTACAATATGGACAATGACCAGCTGAGTGGCTCAGATCAAAGCCTAGAATACATGAAAGTTGTCAGAATGCATTTCTCTTCTACTACAAAAATGCTAAGATTTCTTTGCTTTCGGTTCACGTCTCCTGGTCTTATTCAATTCCTATAAAACTGGAAAGATGACTGACAGGAATTTAGAACAATCCTTTGGAATAAAAACCAGCTCACCAAGATTTTAGAATTCTGAGGAAACTCTCATTTCCCAATCTGAACCCATTCAGAACCTTGGATGACTGCCAAGGACTTCACTGGCAAGAATGGAGGTGGGCACGGTAAGCTCACTTGCAGAACTTAGGAGACTGAGGCAGAAGTTTGTGACCAGCTTGGACTACAAAGAGACCCTGTCTCAGGCAGAGACAGAGAATAAGAGTGGTACTTTTAAAAATCCCATTTCCTAGGATGTGTTAAGTATAAATAGAGGCAAATTACAGTCAGTAATAGCCATTAGGAGGGGCTAGGGTGATAGCTCAATGGTGAAGTGTGGTTACTCCCCTTGTGTAACCCAAATTCACCTCTCTATGCTCACTTTAGGCAATTCATAACCACCTGTTATTACAGCTCCAGGGAAACTCAGTGCTGGCTTCCTTGGGCAACGCTCACACAAGCATATGAATACATACACACATAGACATGCACATACATACACACATAAATACATACAATGTGCACACACAGGCATACACATAAACACACACACATACATACATACTTGTAGTGAGGTAGTCCTTCTGTAGCACTGACCACGCCCATTGGGGGGTGGAGCGAAAATTGCATAAGATATGAGTCCCCAGATTTTGTTTCTTCTGCCTTACACCAATTGGCTTCTTGATTTAAGGCAGAAACCATGAATTTAATCTTAACAACATGCTTGAATTTAGAGAAGGAAAGCCAAATCCAACTCCAAAGCCAGCATTGGTTTACAAAATTTGGGACTTCAGGAATACTAGATAATAGAGAGAAATAGATTTCTATATAGAAATAGTTTACTACAATTAAATTTTTTTTTTTTTTTTTTTTTTACCATATATCAGATTCTGCTTCCTTAAGTGATTGTTTCTGAAAAGCTGTCTTCTCTTCTGTAGGCACCTACATGTTCAGTGTCTTTTGGCTGTTTGATGATAGGTTTTCTCTGTTTTCCTGTAAAAACAAGAACAGAACACTTCCCCTACCTTTGAGAGGCCTCCGCACACCTCATAGGACCTAGTTTGTTGGATGACTTGTCATTTCTCTTCATTAAGATGCTTCTCTTGTTCAACTCGGATCTTGATTAACTTAGATGGTATCCATACTTTTTCTTCTCCTGTAGATACAAATGCAAAACCCCTACCCCAACGTAACACATATCCTGCTTTCCATTCTGAGGTCAGTACATCCTTGAAATACACTGGCTGATTTAGTTCAGAAGTTTTTTCTATTGTCCAGTGTCTTTCTGCAGCTGTTTTTCCTTTTTCATCAGCATTAAGAAAGTTTAATGTTAATAAAGCATTATGTAATCTGTGTTTGGGTGTTTTGGTTCCTCCTGCCTGTTTATGGAGCATTTCTTTTAAAGTACGATTGGATCTCTCAACCACTGCTTGTCCTGTAGGATTGTGTGGTATACCAGTTATGTGCTTTATCTTGTAATACTCAAAAAACTGTTTCAATTTGCTGGAGACATATGCTGGAGCATTGTCAGTTTTTATTTGTGCAGGTATGCCCATAATGGCCATTACCTCTAAAAGGTGCGTTATAACAGAATCAGCCTTTTCAGAGCTCAGAGCAGTAGCCCACTGAAACCCTGAAAATGTATCTATAGTGTGATGTACATATTTTAATTTTCCAAATTCTGCAAAATGAAACACATCCATTTGCCATATTTCATTCCTATTTATACCTTTAGGGTTACTGCCTGGTGGTAAAGGAGTTTGGTTATAGAATGAGCAAGTAGGACATTTCCTTACTATTTCCTTGGCTTGTTCCCAAGTGATAGAAAAATCCTTTTTTAAACCTTTGCTGTTCACGTGGTGTTTCTTATGAAACTCTGAGGCTTCTAGCACACTTCCTATCAATAAACGATCAATTTCATCATTGCCTTGTGCTAGAGGACCTGGCAGACCCGTATGGGATCTGATGTGTGTTATATATATAGGATGAGTCCTCTTTCTGATAGTATCTTGTAACTGTATAAACAATGAAGTTAATTCTGTATTGTCAGGAATAAATTCTGCAGTCTCAATGTGTAAAACGACTCTCTCTGCATATTGAGAGTCAGTAACTATATTGAGGGGTTCTTTAAAATCCATAAGTACCATGAGAATGGCATACAATTCTGCCTTTTGTACAGAATTGTAAGGGCTTTGAACCACTTTACTAATATTTCCTGATTTATATCCTGCCTTACCTGATTTATTTGCATCAGTGTAGAATGTATGAACTCCAGAAATAGGTGTTTTTCTTACAATGCGTGGAAGAATCCAAATCGTTTTCTTTATGAATTTGATTCTCTCAGTTTTGGGATAGTTGTTGCTAATTGTTCCCAAAAAGTTACTGCAAGCTCTCTGCCAATATTCGTTATCTTTCCATAAGGAAGAAATTTCCTCATTAGTTAAAGGTACTATAATTTCTGCTGGGTCCCTTCCTATTAGCTGACGAAGTCTTAATTTACCTTTTATAATCAAGTCAGAGATCTTTTCTATATATGTTTTCAGTTTTTTATTCTGTTTATGTGGTAGGAATATCCATTCTAATATGATATCTTCTCTCTGCATCAAAATCCCTGAAGGATATTCTCTAGATGGTAATATAACCAGAATACAGTCTAGGTTTGGATCCACACGGTCCACATGTGCTTCTAGTATCCTCTTTTCTACCCATTCTAATTCCTTCTCAGCTTCAGCTGATAGTATTCGTGGACTATTCAAGTCCTTATCTCCTTTTAGGGCCATTTTCAAGTTTTTCAAATCATGCCCTTCTACTCCAATTATGGTTTGCAGTTGAGAAATCTCTCCTAGTAATTTTTTCAGGTGCAATTTGTAATCCCCAGCGAGGTAAAACTTCCTTTACTTTCTCAAACATTTTTTCTAATATTTCTCCTTTAGAGTCAGCTAACAATATATCATCCATGTAATGATAGATTATGGATTGTGGAAACTGTTTACGAATTATTTCTAACGGCTTTTGTACGAAATATTGGCACAGGGTGGGGCTATTTAGCATTCCCTGTGGCAAAACCTTCCATTGATATCTCTTCACCGGTTGAGAATTGTTATAATTAGGTACCGTGAAGGCAAATTTCTCTTTGAAATCCTAATTTTCTCACATACTTTTAATGCTTATTGTTGTCTTTCCCTAATGCATACCTTAAAACTTGAAAATTTTACTTTAATATTGATGTGTAACTTTTCCACAAGGAATAATAACGATTCCTAACAGCAGTCTTTGAACTTTCCGGAAAGAAGATGGGGCCCCCACATCATCATTTCCACTTGACTCAACCTGATGCATCGGAACTACAAACATCACCCTAAAACCGGTTTGAGACTGTTTTGCTCGAGACAACTCATGACTAGCTAGCTGTAATGGTGCACCTTTTTATTACACCCTGGCCAGTTTCAAATAGAACTACAGTCAAGAATTTTCTGCCACACAGTGACTAACTACATATGTCACAGCCAGTTCTGTTGAGAAATTTGGTTGCTAAAAATTTTCTTCCTACAGGATCCATTGGAGCAATCATCGTCCCATTTCAGCAGGAAGTAATCTTAATATGACTACGCCCCCTTTCCCTACCCTTGGAAATTTGGGATAATAGTCATCGTCTTTGGGTTGGTTTTAGTTATTTGGGATTGGGTGATGCTTACACTCGGGTTTATCTTTTAGACAGGAATAGGGAATGGTGGGTAAAGGTATGGTTTAGATGGGATATAAGTAGATTAGCCT